TAGATAGATAGATAGATAGATAGATAGATAGATAGATAGATAGATAGATGAGATGCACCTTGCAAAGACACAGGAACTAGAAGGATTCATTCCTTCATTTGATTGATCCACTTGTGTCCTCAGGCTAGGCATTTCACTGAAAGTTTTACCTGTAACAAAGAAATGTAAACAAAAAATCGTTTTCAGTACTAGATGCAATTCAATATTTTTTCTACAGTTGTCCTAATCAAATCTTGAGGGCTACAGGAATTACGTTTGTTGCTTAGCAAACCATTTCCAGGCTCACAATTCCACTGCCTTTTCTGCTTATGTTCACTTCCCCCTTTTAATTTTTAATCAGCTTATTGTGGGTAGAGGGCATGTTCCGCTAACAATGAAGAGTTATCTCCTCCCCTTTTCCCTTAAGGGCTTTTGGGATTTTAGCATATAAATAATGGCACTCTGAGAATTAAAACTGCTTTTAGAAATGAGACCCTACCACTAATATATGTGTACATCATAGTGGTTTCATTCATTTCATTTTATGGTCGAAGACTAATACAAATATACCCAAAAATAGCAAAACCCATAACTAAAATTTATAGACAAAGGTTTATGAGGAAAGGTACTGAAGTTATGAAACTTGCTAAGCAGTTAAATATTTGATAGTGATTTAACAAATTTAGTGACAGAAATTTCCATCTAGATTCTGTTTTTCCTAAAATAACTCAAAATGGCATACATTAAGATCTCTACTCTTTGGAGAGTAAATAAACTCTTCAAAACCCACTCTTATGGGGTAGGTTCAGTTGAGGGATAGTAATTGAATGACTTAATGAATTCCATAGTGGGAATGGGATTTAAATATGTGTCTCCCCCATCAGTACCAGTCATTAGCTGCACATTGGCTTGGTTACCCTGAATTTGCTGTCAATTCTTTCTTATCATTGGGTACAGGTAGTCCTCACTTAATGACAATAGGGACCAGAAAACTGGTTGTTAAGAGAGTCACCACTGACCAGACCTGATTTTCGGACCACTTTTTCAACAGCCACAAAGCAAATCACTGCAGTCGCTAAGTGAATCACATGGTCGTTAAGTGAATCCAGCTTACCCAATGGATTTTTTGCTGGAATCTGCTAAATGTTGTGACTCACTTAATGACCACAGTGATTTGTTTTATGGCCATCATAAAAAGGTCGCAAATTGTGATCACATGACCGCAGAGAGGGTACAACGGTTTGCAAAGGGCATAAGTGCAAGTACAGGTTGTAAAGCACTTTTTCCAAGGCTGTTATAACTTTGAACCATCATTAAACAAACAGTCATTCAGTGGAACTACCTATATTACCATTTTGGCAACACAAAGGATGATATTCAGAGAACATAAGACATTAAAACTATAAAACACAATTTACATAGATTTTGCACATCTTTATTTTGAATAAAGTGAGTAAATAGTAATGATTAATAAAATATATCAAATACCAAGAACATTTTAAAGATACAGATGTTAAATATCATTTTAACAAAGCATTCCAATATGCTGAAAATGCTTCAGAAATATAATTATGAAATGTAAGTACTTATTAGGGATATGGAACATTTACTGATTCAGGAATGAATTTCAGAGAATTCCATTTCCTCCTGGCTATGCCATTCCAAGGACAGTTGCAATTTCCAGAAGTAAATCCTTTGAATCAATGTTCCAGATGTGGTGTTTTGGATGAAACATGTGTTTCATGGTCAGACCACCAGTGAAACATCTCAAACTTTTCCAGTTCAAAGGATTTTCTTCTGGAAACTGTTGAACCACTCTAGAAACAGAATGGTTTGGGAGGAAACAGAATGCTCAAGAGTACTCTAGAACATTCTGTTCCTGGATCAGTGAATTTTGACTTCAAGTTGCAGACAAAAAGTTGAAATACAGTAGGCTGCCTAATACATACCCAAGAAAATATATAGTCAAGATTAAATCTACTCTACACACTTTCAGCTTATACCCAGAACTGGCTGAAATTGTCTTCTATTCCATTCCATCATTCTTTTATGACAATGGGGAAAAAGCTATTATTTTACAGTCACCAACACAGCAGAGAGAATGGGCATCCCAGCAAATATATTTATAATTCTGAGTTCTATACGAACCACAATGTTTGAGCTGACACTTAATATCCCCTGTGGACGCTTATGTAGCCAGAAAAGTACAATCTCCTCAGAAGGTATCTACATTGTAACATTTTATTTTCATACTACATTCATTTTGTAAAAGCTATACATCCAAAAATGTTTATAATTTTGGTTAGCTTATGTATCACTTATCTTACCTGTTTCTTTACTGAACTGAGCCAATTCTTCTGTAGGAGAAGTAAACATCTTTAAATTTTTACTCCGGTCTTTAAAAATCATGGGAGTTGATACTGATGGGTTATTTGTAGACAACTTCCCCTTTGGGGTTTTAAAAGTATTTTGATCCATAGTTTTATGTAAAGGGTCTTCTGGTTTTTTCAGATCATAAGGTGGAGCTTCTGAACTGAGTTCTTCAAACCAATTGAGACTTATAGGTCCTAGGTCTAAAAAAGCAGTCAATACATTATTTAGGATGTCATATTCTATGTTATAATGATGTAATGATAAGTCATTATTACTAAAAATTAACAATAGCTTCAACTAAATCTACTATACATTATTTTCATTGGAAAATAATAGCTTTAGAAGAAAGATTTTCTTCTACACCCATAACTGATGTAGGGCTTTTAAAAATATTGTGTATTCTCAGATAAATATGAACTATCATCAAATACTACTTTCTATGTATACAATGTTTTTGTAATAGGTAGGGCAATGTATACAATGTTTTTGTAATAGGCAGGGCATCCTATAGTGAGTACCTTTTCCTACTTACTTTAGAGGCAGGGCTTAAACTGTTCTGAAATTCTTCCTGTAGTTCTTTTCCCATATTTGGCTCTATCTTGCTTTGCAGAACAGGCATGCCTATGTCAGGATTTTCTTTCTCATGGGAAAGGATTCATCCCGTTATC